CCCGGCAGCTGCTGTGGAAGACGCGGGGGGACGGCTTATTTTGCGGGATCCTGCGTTGTTCCTAAACAAGGCTCTCTTCCAGTTCCCGTGGACCAGTACCACTTCTACTTCGACATCAGCGCGATGGAGAGGGGCGAGCAGATGCTGAAAGCCGAGTTCAGGGTCTTCAAGCTGAAGAGGGCACATGTGTCTAGGTCTGATGTGAAACACTTCTGCAAAGTAAGTGGGGAAATAGTCTGTCAAGTAAACGCTTACTTGTGCTTTCATTGTTAATAATACTGAAAATGAGGAGCGCAACCATTTACCACATAAGTCTACTTTATTTTTATTTTTATTTGATTGTCGTCCTCACTTTTTCTTTGCCTCCAGCATGCAAAGAAGTAGATGCAAGGTTTTGGCTGTCCTTTGGCAGTATGCTGTCCTTTGCGCACTGTAGCAATGAACTATCCCTAAAGATACATATGTCAGACCTATCTCAAACTATACCATACTTTTCTGGGTTTTGAGATATTTTGAAATTCGAATCAAAATTTATCTGCTTGAGCCACTTTAAAAAATAATAGCAGCAATCAGGGATGCATAGGAGAATAGGGCAGGTGAGGACTCTGACGCTGAGTGTATCTGTTCCTTTGGCCAAAGGCAGGATTGGACTTTTTGCAAACTGAAGACGAAGATGCGGAGGAACAGAAGACTTTCACGGTATCAGATGTTCAAAATAGAAAGAAAAAGGATGGTCAGGATATTTTTCTATAGTATCAAACAGTCCAGTATCCTGCCTCTGAACACATCTGGAAGCAGATATATGTCGTGATACTTGTTTTTCTGTTAAACTGTCCAAAAACTACTTTTTGCCTGGTTTAGAATGATAGTACACTTTTACAGCTATGATGTGGCAGAAATGTGCATAATCTTCATCCTCCTTGTTTTACTGGAAGAACAATTGGTTTCATTTCTTACTGTTTTGTTGTATTGCTCTCATCAAGGTGGAAGTGTATGAGCTTTTGGAGAGTGGAAGTAAGCCACAAAAAAACCGTCTCATTGCATCAAGGTTATTGTCCCTGTACACAGAAGGTTGGGAAGTATTCAACGTCACACAGACAGTAAGCAGAGAATTCTGACTTAATTTTAGTTATATGTCTCTTAAGATGACAGCTCATAACTCCAGCATTGCACTTATGCTGGGTTTTGTGGTCAGTTCAAACTGAAGGACAGCAGCAGAGGGAGAAGGTTTTTCTCTACACTTAAAAGTACACGTGGTGCTACCTGAATTGAAGGAGAAGTGTTGATATGCTGCTGGCAGCACAGGCACGATGAGAATTGAGTAACCCAAACCTAGTCGATAGGAGGGACATCAGGCCAAGTATGTCATTGTGATAAAACATGTTAGTCCTTGACTGCCAAAGGAGAGGGCATTGGTTGTGTGCTAAGAGTAGGTTTTCGTTTCTCCTTTTTATTCTGGTGACATTATTACAGAGCAGATGTGCAGTGTGCTTTAACATTGTGTTTCTGGACTTTATCATGGTGGGATTGTTTTTCATTTAACTTCCTCTGTAGACTTATTTGTTAGGTTCAAGATTTGTTTTGTAGAATCCTTAAACTATAACAGTATGTGAATGCCTTTCCGTAGCGAACAAACAAATGTGATTTAAAACATACAGTTACTTGGGTTTAAATCTGTACTCTCGGACAGTGTTTTTCATTGCCTAAGCTTTACGGTCAGACTGAACAGCATGCTTGGATGATCGCTTGAGTTGCATCTTAAGTCATGATAGCCCTGCTTGAGAATGGCCTGGCCTTATCTATTAGCCTGTAATTACAACAATTAGATAAAGTAAATTTTCTTGATTGCGAGCTAATTTCTTCAAATGCCATGTTTGCTAGATTTAAATGAGTTTTAATGGTATGGAAAGTCTGGAGAGTTCATACTATTCTGTTATTAAGATTGCTGTGAAAAATAAATTCTTGGCTAAAGTCAGAGAGGATTTATTTTAATGCTAATTTTAACTCCTAGACTCATCTATTCACTAGTAAATTCTCTGAAATTAATTATCTTCCTGTAAATGTAGCTTTGGGGAATGCATATGGTATTTTGTATTTTTAAATGTTGAATTACTGGTTTAAATATTAAACTCCATTGAGTCTCAGCTATACAGTTACCTCACTTCTGTCATAATATATGTTCTTACGCTCTCATAGCTTGTTGCCTGTTCCCTTTTCCTGATATAAACATTGCTTAATCGTAATGCTGTAGTAAGAAAATTGAAACAGTATTTTTTCGTTTCCCTGTCATTACCAGGTTTCCAAGTGGGTTGGAAACAGCAGCTCCAACCATGGCTTTTTGATAACTACAACACATGTATTCAACAATAGAATTGAGCACAACCTGGTTAAGTTTGCTAAGAGCCAGGGCGCTTTGCAGGAGAGTAGAAATGCTCTCCTTGTCCTCTTCACCAACAGTAACAAACGGAGGTCTTTCAGCTTTGTACCCTCTTCCACAAGTAAGTTCACATGACAGCAGCAGATGTTTTGGAATATGAACTCCCTGTTTATCTTCTGTTACCTTCTGCTGCCTCGTGTATACCTAATCTCAGTACTTACTTGCAGTGTTGAACAGGTTTGAAGTTCAGCTTTCTCGCTGATCAGAGTTTGATTTGATAGTTCTTGCTAGTAGGTCACCCAACATCTTAAGTTGCCTCTCCCCTCAGAAAAACTATGTTTGCAGGACGTATTCATAAAGCCTAGGGGGAATCTGGTTTATTTTGTATGTAAAGGAGTGGGAGTTCTGTTTTTTTTTAAATTACTATTTGTATTATTTTTGTGCTGGTGAAGTTTGCGTGAAAATTGTGGATTAGGTTTAGGCTAAAAAAACTCAGTGACCTGGAAAACTTTGTGAAAATGCTGGTAAAGCAACTGTAAGTAGAGATATTAAGTGCAGTTTTCAAGAGTGAAAGAGGTTGTTAAATAAGTAGTTTAAACCTCTCTGTCCTTGGCTTGGTTTTTAAGCACCTATTGAACTTCAGTGACTAATTAGCATTGTGACTAAAGGCTGCTTTCATCGAAGACAACACCCTCATCCCTTAAATTACAAAACACCGTGTTTTACCTCTCCCACTGGTCTTCCAGTAAAACCAACTAAGGCTGGATTTTAGAGCCTGATAAATGCAAAGAGCAAAAGCAGGGAGAAGGGACAAAAATGATTCTGTTTTGCAGGGTTTTCTGGTAGACTATTGCATTTGCACATTAGAAAGAAACTAGGTAGGACTTGCATCAATATTAAGAATTAGGTGGTGAAATTGATTAAAAACAAGGCTGGCCTGTTTATTTTTGTTTTCCAAAGAAAATTTTTATAGTGAAATCCTGGATCCCAATTTAATCAGCATCAAACTCCGTATGGAATACTGTGCTAGCATTGAGAAATTGATACCCATTTCTCATTGAAGAAACTCCCTAGACCTGCCTGCTGCTTGTGGTCAGTGAATCTGTGCAGATTGTTCTATCAGCCTGTATATCGGTGGTTTTCAGCCTCTGTACATGGATCTTGAGGTCTCCATGGACAAGGCTTCTCAGAAGATACTTTAAGAAAGCAAACCTGTTGTCAGTAAACTTAATTCTCGAGCAGAGTTCCGTAAACCTGGTGGTAATTTTTTCAGATCCAAAAATGGAAAAATATTTTTAAAAATATTACTCTACAGGAATACACCCTGTTTTGCAAGTGTATGCGTAGAGTTCCTGGGAGGACAATATTGGAGAGAGAAAAAGGCTGTGATCTCCACCCTCTGTTAGCACCGCTCAGCGTGATGTGTGTTGTAGGAGTGGCCGTAGAAAGGCCGTTAATACCGCTCTGACCAGATTCAGCCCTGAAAAGGGCCTGTGGAGTTCACAGAATGTATTTAGTATATCATTGATCTTTTCCTTTATATTTCTGCTGAGTTGGGGCCTTCCTTTTTTAGTGTGGCCAGCAGGAGTAGGGAGGTGATCGTGCCCCTGTACTCGGCCCTGGTGAGGCCGCACCTTGAATACTGTGTTCAGTTTTGGGCCCCTCACTACAAGAAGGACATTGAGGTGCTGGAGCGTGTCCAGAGAAGGGCAACGAAGCTGGTGAAGGGTCTAGAGAACAAGTCTTATGAGGAGCGGCTGAGGGAACTGGGGCTGTTTAGCCTGGAGAAGAGGAGGCTGAGGGGAGACCTCATCGCGCTCTACAACTACCGGAAAGGAGGTTGTAGCGAGGTGGGGGTTGGTCTCTTCTCCCAAGTAACTAGCGATAGGACGAGAGGAAATGGCATCAAGTTGTGCCAAGGGAGGTTTAGACTGGACATTAGGAAAAATTTCTTTACTGCAAGAGTGGTCAGGCCTTGGAACAGGCTGCCCAGGGAAGTGGTGGAGTCACCATCCCTGGAGGTATTTAAAAGACGTGTAGATGAGGTGCTTAGGGACATGGTTTAGTGGCCATGGTGGTGTTGGGTTGACGGTTGGACTCAATGATCTTAGAGGTCTTTTCCAACCTTAATGATTCTAAAGTGAAACACAAGATTTGGCAGTTTTTGAAATATGGCTGAAATGGCAATTGAATACAGACCCCTTCTGGTACTTTCACAGTTAAATGTCATTTTAAGATCTACTCTGAAGACTTTCATGTATATTTATGGAATAGACTTTCATGGAGAATACTGTACTTGGGAAATAAATTTCTTTTGAGAAAGATTAACACGCAACTTCCTTTCAGAACCAGAGATGAACACTGCCAAAAATGATGGTTCACACATGCCTCGTGAAACTCAGATCATCGAAAGCAGCAATGCAAGCATGAGCAGGAGACCTCGAGCTGCTGCAGTCCCTTCTGCCAAAAGCCAGGTAACAGCATGTCATCGGAGGGAACTCTACGTTGACTTCCGTGCTATTGGCTGGTCAGGATGGATTATTTACCCAAGTGGATACAATGCATTTTATTGCAGAGGATCCTGTCTCTTCCCTTTGGGGGAAAGTCTAAATGCAACAAACCATGCTACAGTTCAGTCCATAGTCCATACACTTAAACTGTCTCAAGATGTCAGCACACCCTGCTGTGTGCCAGATGAATTGAAGTCCCTCAATCTTCTCTACTTTGATGACAAAGAGAATGTGGTCCTTAAAAATTATAAAGACATGGTGGCAACGAGGTGTGGTTGTCATTAGCAGGACCTTTTTTTGTCTGCATTTGGTGTGCACCTGGATTCAGTTCCCCATTTGCCACTGAAGATACCAAGGAAGATGGCATTTCAGTCTACAGGGCAGGAGAGCCAGAAACTCAGCTGTGCTTCAAATCCTTCTCCCCTCACCATGTCTGTGTGGAAAGGTGTTGAAGACTGACTTTTGAAGAGCTGTGGGCTTCTGAAGGGTATGCTGACCTGCATGGAGAGCTCTTTGAGTGCCTGTACACCAGAGGAAACCATTAAAAACAAGAACTTGCTATGTGAAGGAGTTGAAACACATTAAGTTGAGCGTTCAAATTAAGGTCTTGTTCTATATATTGAGGCTCAGAATTTCCTGTGATTTAACAAGCATGCATGATCCAGTGGGGATGTACACTCCGACATGGAGCTTTCAGGATAAGTGTTTGCCCAGAGCTAATCTCAGAGGCCTCTACCGTCTGCAGCTCATGCATTACCCGAAAATGCACTTCTTCCTCCTGTTCTTCGTGCAGCTCTACCAAACGCAGAGACCTCCTTGTAAGTCCTCTGGGACTTGCTAGCCAGTCCGAGGGAAGACATAGGTCAGCATTTGTCTGGGAATCAGCAAACTTGGCTTCCAACCCAGGGCCACACCTCTGTATGATGAAGGGTCAGCCAGTCCCTCTCTTTGTAAAGTCATTCTCTTCCACCATGGTCTGCTGTGGCTGTTAGGCTGTGTGGCAGCAGAAATTGCCTTTGTGTATTTATACAGTGGCTGTACAATGAGATCCTAAGCTTGGGTCAGAATCCCCATAGTTTAGCAGGAAGAAGGAAGACCATTAAGCTTTGGAGGTCTTTGAGAACATGCTGGGTGCTGGCCTGGTCCTGTACCTGAGGCAAGTTTGATGGAAGGTACTCACTGATTCTCTTCCATTCTTCCTTGAAGCATAGGACATAGTCTTGGAAGGGGCCGCCTGAGGTCTATCAGTCTTGCGGTCTTGCTACAATTTAATGCAGGTAACCAGCCCGTTGCAGTTCCTTAATCAACTCGTTGAGTTGTAACTTAAGCCTGTTAGATTTCTTGTCTCCATTAATCCTTGAAGGAGGCTTACTTCTCACAGAATGTGACATCTCCCGTGGGTAGGAAGTTCATGGAGAATTTTTTTACTCCAATGAGATTAAAAAAAAAAAAAAAAAAAGAAAAATTATTTATGTAAATGTTTTTCTTTCTGTAAATATTGATATCTGTAATAAATTTATTTTATTTAAAACCCAAACTACTCCTGGAGTATATTAACTTAATCTGTATTATAAAATGTTACTTTTCAAGTAAATGTAATGTAATGTTGGTTTGTTTTTTGTATTTGAACCTCCTTCCTAGAGACATGAATCCAGTACTTTTCCAGAAGAGAGGATGTTCCCAATAGCTTCAGTGGGCACTGTATCAAGTCCTCTGACTCCGTGTCAAGGAGTATAATGGATAAGCAGAATAGATATGTTTTCCTTCAGGGAGGATCCAGCCATTATTCCTGAAGTGAAACTTGCATTGAAGCTTCTTGTAACTCTCGCTTGAGTTAGGCGTAGGGATTAAAGCCCTTCAGGTTGGTCACGTGTGGTGCTCATAGCAGAGCATACCTCATGGAGGTCCTGAACTTAACATACCTGAGATGGTTTCAATTTTCTTGGTGTGTAAGGCCTTATTTTCATCTATGTTGTAATATCTTGGGATGCCTTCATTAAAATTTCACTAAGTTAGAAAGCCAGGACAAAAGAAGTACTTTTATTCACAGATACAATATATGGATGAGAAGGCTGTGCCCCATATGTGTAGGCCAGGCGTGTGCTTATCGGAACTACAGCCTGGAATGGGTGGAGTAGAGGAGCCTGAGCAAGACAAGGGTTTAGAAAGAAAGGATGGCATGCCTGGGACAGTGTGGAGAGAAGGGTTTTCTCCTGCCTGGTTGTTTCTCTGGAAGGCTGCAGAGGCTGTTGTAAGTACCAGCGAGCTGGCCCACTCCAATGTCAGAACAGCTCCAAGAGCAGGTCTTGCTGCTGGGAGCAGCAGTTAAGGTAAAGGCCTTGGTGCTCAGTCCAGGCTGGAACAGGCGCTGTTCAGGAAGCTCATTTCTGTTAGGCACAAAAGGCTTGATTCCCCCAGCCAGGGAAACAGGCTGTGATAGGGTTCCTGTATTTCCATCCAGCAGACCACGTGTTGAACTGGTGGTGTGTGAGCTAGATGGTGCAGGCAGAGGGAGTCTAGTATGTCTGAATGTTTCAAACCTGCTGTATGTGCCCAGCATGGCAGAACAGAAGTGTTCGTCCTTTCTGCAGAACAGCCCATCATCGCCGTGCTGACCACACTGCCTCGTGTTCAGAATTCCCAGACAAATCGCCAAAATCTTCCTCTGCCTATGTAAAACTTCTGTATAGGGGAAAAGAAAAAAAAAAAGGGTGTTTTGATCTTGGTATATGGTCACCCTGGTAAAAAGTCTGTAGGAACCACACCTTGGGAGTGAGAAAATGTATGGTGAGAGTCCGGACAAGGTTGTTTCTGAATGGTGACTTCAGCTGATGTTATCTATGTTTCTTTTAGTACCCTAAGAACTGACCCTAAGAACTGAAGCCAGAAGTTTTCCCTGCCAAGTAACACTGGGAGAAGGATTGCATTTGGAACAGACTGGCTGAGGCAGGTTGTGCGTCCAACACGCTCCAGTCTTCTGCTTGTGACATGACAAATGCTTCTAGCACCATCAGCTGTGTATCAGCTGCATCCTTCACTGCTCAGCTCAGAGAATTGTCCATTTTTTCCAGGATATCGTAACTGTTTCAAATGCCAGGGGGAAAAAAGGGAAATTTTCCATTGAAAAGCAAGTATAATTAATAAATAAATGATGGGCACACTGAATATTAGCTAACATAGTGCTGCTCTACAATAGGTGAAATATGCACAGTCGAACTAGGAGCACTCAGTAGTTTTGCACACATTAAATTATTTTTTTCTGCGCCACTCAACATAGTCTCATTATGCCCCATTAAACCCTGATAATTAAAACAAAATATATTGGAATTGTTTATCCTGGACTTTGTAAGGAAATGAGGTTCATAATAATGCCAAGGGAAAAAATTTACACTACACCAGAACTTGTAATTAGAATAACAATTAAGCACAAGTATGCTCTTTTTTTTTTTTTTTTTTAGAATAAAAGTACATTTTCTTGTTATTCATTAACTGAAATAAATAAGGATTCCAAAATAAGAAATGCTGCACTTAGGAGTCTTGGTTTAATCAGAACATCATATGTTCAGGTGGCATACCAAAAAGCAAAAGCTAGGGTTTTGGAAGGAATAGGGGTAGTCTTTAGCATGGACAGTCTGGAAGAGGATTGGCGATACAGATTATGCGTTGTTCTACCATCTTGCATCACAACAACAGCAAGAGGAAGGCTGGTAGCAAACCCTGTTGTGATGAACACTGCACCAAGACCAACGAGGAGCACACCTGGCCCTGAAGAGCTCTCCTTGCAAAGAGCAGAAACAAATAGGAATGACTGCACATTTTTTTTTTGTCGAGAGCCCCGAGACTGAAATTCGGAGGTATACAGAGGAAGAGCCCCACGTTAAAGGTCTGAGAGCCTTGCAGCATCTCTCCCCTGCCTCCAGCTTCAAGCGTCACTGAGGACACAGCTACAGCGGGCGTGGGGCTGTCTGAGCCGCCTCAGCTGGTGGCTGGAAGCAGAGTGCCCTGCTAGCTATTCACGGTGGTGCATCTGCACAGCGCTCAGCTCTGCAGCTCAAGGGCTGCTGGCTTGGATCTCTTGACAGCTCATGGGTCTCTGCATCCTCTCCATAGCACGGGATCAGTGTGATTCTCCTCTGGTAAATAACACACCTTGCATTTTGTACCCACAGGCACATGGAAAGCAGGATTTCAGAGGCAGAAAGACTCAATGCTTAGGAAGAGAATCCAACCCCATGGTAAAGCTATAGCGTTATGCTCAACCCCATTATGAAGAGTTTGGCCCGGGTTTGGAACTACAGAGGTCCAGGTATGCGAGGTATGTGCAATCCCACTCATTATTGCGTAAGGTGTGGAGAGCACTAAACCTGGCCCTGACAACACTGCAGCGGGATGGTAGTGGGATCTGAGTAGGATGGGGGGGAGAGCTAAGGGTAAAGAGCACAAATCCACAAGAGATCAGACATCCATAGTCTCCTGTTTGTAGAAATGTTTGCTTTAAGGGATTTCTGTGGTGCTCCTGTCCCGAGGTATAGATGACGGGGAGGTGCTTCTTGGCACTGAAGCAGGGGGAGGGATATGCTGGGGATGTCCTGGGGCGGGTAAGGCAGAAGGGATGAGCTTGGGGAAATTGGTCTGGGGTGGTTTCTCCCCTGTGTGAGGGGGAGATAAATGTGCCTGCCCCGAGGAAGCTGGAGCACAGCAGTGAGTTCTGTTAGCAGCTGAAAAGCCTCTGCTCTATTCTGTCTGCTCTGCAGGCTTGCAAATGATGTTCAGTACGAGGCATCCAGTTAGGAATGCTCTGAGTTGTTTCCAGACTGCCTGGGGTAGTTGCTGTGGTTCCTGTTCTCCGTGTAGGAAATGGGGCATTTATGTGCTTTACTTGAAAGACCCATTCATAGCACGGGAGCTTGTCTCCTGAAAAGAGAGGAGGGAAGCTGGGTGCCTATCGTAAGTCCCAGGGCTTTCCCACAGATACCGAATCCTCCAGATTGTCTCTAGTCCCTTTAAAATCACACATGCAAATACACACACGCAAATGCGTGTGTACATGCGGGTTCTTTCTTATGTACACCCATGGGCACATGCCTTCATGTTCAGAGGCAGCCTCTCTCCTGGTTCATCCCAAACTCCTTCCCAAAGGATGGTGCTACTTATCCGTAACTGAGGTGGAGTGCTCGGGGCTAATTTGAGAACATTGCCACATCCAGAAGGTGCTTTGTGCAAAAGTATGTCACACGTAGGCCATTTCCCCCCTTCTGGCATTGAGTGTAGCTCACCTCCAAGGA